CAGCCGGGCCCGGGGGCAGGGGGGCACCCCCCGCTCCGGACCGGCTCTGCTGGCGCTCGCCGTCTGCCCCCCAAAGTGCCCATGTTTTTTAAAAGCAAGGCTCCTCACGTCGGGCGGCGGGAATGTCCTGGCAGCTCCGGCTGACAGCAGCGAGGCTGAGCGTGAAATCACGGCTCAGGTTCCTCTAAAGTCTCTGTTCTTTTTAAATTAAGGACAGCTGATTGTTTTAACTCTGTGCTGTCTGTCCGGTAGGCTGGCCTGCGCTTCGTGTTAATGCGAACTTTATGTCAGGGGGGTATTTTCCAGGTGGGAGAGTCAAACACAAAGTAATTTACTGGAGGACATTCAGGAACAAGAGGACAGTGTCAGGGTCTAACCTCACCCCTAACCCACTAGCCATACGACAGCATGTCCAAAACCCCTCTGTCTCTCCTAACCCAACTCCCTGCTCGGTAAGGAGAAATCTGTTTCTTTGCCATTTCAAATTGCAGATACTGATCCTCGCCTTCAAGGCTATACATACCCATCATTTTCCTAACCTCCCGCTCCCTGTGCACCTTCCTGCCCCGCCAATCCTTCTCACGTCTGATAGTTTGGGGAGGGGAGCAAAATGATGGAGGGGGTTCCAGTTTGGTCCTATTGTCTATCCATCAGCAGAAATGGAAACAGACCCTTAATTACTCTGAGGCATTAAAAATCTTCCAATTGGTTTTGCAGAGAAGCTTTCCTACCTGCAAGCTTCCTGGTCAAATGTCAATTGAGAAAAAGGCACTGCTGTCAGGATACATTATTATGTACTGCCATATTTCACAGCCAAGATAGCAGCATTTCACTCTTTGATGAAATTTTTATTATCCTGCTATGATTATAGAATATCATGCTGTCATAGCACCTACAGAGCATCATTAGGTCAAGCCCTGGAGAGTCAGATGCAGTATAACTGTAGGCATTGCCTGATGTGTCATGACGTGAAGAACAAGGTAACCCAAATGGTAACTAAGTAGCTTCACAGAGCTGTTACGAGTCTTAAAGTTTTTAAGATGCATTATTTATACCTGCCAGTCTCTGTCAGTTTCAGACTAAGAAATAGCACAGATAAATCTGCCTGTAAGGTAGTTTCTCTTTCCTCTGTTACTATGAAGCTAGACAAACACCTGGTTCTTTCAAAGCAAAATGGCTGAAGTTATCTTGTCACTCTTTTATACTCTCAAAAATATTTAGCTCTGCTCACACAACATCTGAGCAGCAGCAGCAGCTGCTCAGACCTTGATTGAGCAAAGTCTATATATAGCTTTTGGACAGAGAAACAAGACAAAGTTTGCTGAGGTGTCCAAGGACTTCTCTAAACAGTAAATATCCTTCCACAGCGTATTTTGCTGCACTGACTGGAGAAATATGTAGTCCAATGTAAGTGTAAATGACCACACCGTAGGAAACAAAGGATCCCATCAAGTCTAGCATGTCAATATTTTCTTTACTATAGTTCTAGAAAGTAAATATGTTGGAGGGAAAATGACTTTAAAATAATCCCATTCATTTCCTCTCTGGCCTGTTGCTGAATGTAGAAAATAAGGTGAGATCTGCTAATTAATTTTACTGAGACTCTGCCAGAAGCTCTGTCTTCTGAATCTTCCTGTCCCTCCCACCCCTTTAGCCAAATACGATGAAAAAAAGACATCTTTTGTTCTTTGTCTACCTCTCCTGAAAGAAATCTCAGCCCTCTTCTGGTCTAACTCCTGCTCTCCCTCCAGCATGGAAGTTCGTATCACAGCATCAAATACCCTCTCCTGATCTTCAAAATCCACAACATCTTACAGATCAAGTTCTCCTCTGCTCCCCTCTGGGGCTCCCTTGATCGCCCAGCATCTGCTTTTCCTCCTTCCCTAACACAGCCCCTCAGTGAAGAAATCTTCTCCACCGCAGCTTTCTCACCCAAAGAAACCTCCCTTTGCTCTCCTACTCCTGCCCAGATGAAAGTAATTTCTTTCCCTCTGCTGTTCTGATTGCTCTTCATCTCTCTTTTTAAATGCTTGTTTAATTGTCCATGGTAAAATGCTTTGCTCATATGATTAAAAGGGATTGAGTAAGTATTTTGTTTGGTGGATTTTTCTACTTGAGGTAATGCTGTGAAGGGACCTCAGGATACTTTCTGTGTGAAAAAGTATTTTGAAAATAAGTATCTTTTCCTGTGGACATTTGCACCTGGGCATAAAGGTACTATGCCAGTGAGTTCAAGCTGGCATAAAGAGGAACAGTATTTTTAAGTATGTAAGTCCTTTTGATTAAAAAAAAAACAAAAACAAAAACAAAAAAACCCACAAACACAAAACCTTCAAGCATTAATATCTGCACTTTCACTTTAAGATGTTATTGCCCCAAAAGTTCGTTCTGCTGCTTCACTGGTCATTACAATCCCTTTACCGAAGCACTGAGTGGAAAACATGTATGTCCTTCATCTGCTTTGCTGGAGACCAAGAGGTTTAGGTCAGCTTCTCGGCACTTAGAGCCAACCTAGTAGACTTTGCACTGAAATGACTGAGGTACAGTCACATAT